TTCCTCATATGACGTCACTGCAGTGCTCTGGCGACAGAGTTACGTAACCTGTCTGTGGTTTCGTTGGCGGGCGAGAGGGAAGCAGGCGACTTTTTGGCCACTTTTAATCGCTCGGTATTAATTAACCACAAGTTTTTAAAGAATAAATTTGGTGTTCCGCATAAGACTAACCACAAATCTTTCATATGTAATGGTTAAAGAGTAACAAAAAAAAACAAAGTTTAGTGGTTCTTGTAGATTTGATATTTACTGTTATTTTTTATCATGTCTTAGCACTCCAGTGATATGAAGAGAATATAATATGCAAGTAGAATAAAAGAAACATATATGACAAACACTTTGGTTTCTATTCCTTATTTCTTTATATGCCAGATACAATATGTGTACGTTTGCTCGGTGGTATCTGTCAATTCGGCCGTGTCGAACTTATCTCTCTCACCCCTTTAGGCTGGATATAACGGGGTTCGACGGTAGCGACGATACGGGATGTTTGACACCATATGCTGCCCACCGATGGCTTCCATCACAAACACATGCAAGGGCGAGTAAACTATTCTGAGAAATCAATTGGGTCAGAACTGCATTGCATTGGACACAGTTTGACATTACTGCAGGTGCAGCTAGAAACAGACCACATTTTATGTCAGTGTAGCAATGTGATGTATGTAAACGATTGTAGGTGTTATGAGAGTGTGGTTTTTTTTGTAATTTGTAAAATTACATTGGTTAAATGATAGTTATTATGGGTCACAATGTTAAAAGTTTCATATATGTTCTATGGCAATAGTAATTTTAGCGGTACAACGTTTTGATAGCGCTTCAGAGTTGCCTCCCTTAGCTGGTTGTTTATCGTTTTGACTTCGTCATGTCGTGGAGATTTCCACGGAGTTTCATAACGTTCTGAGAGAATAATGATGGAGCCTAGCTTTGCTAGAATGCTCGAGAACTCTGTCAGAGATATACAAAGGTTGTTGCGTTGTGTAAAGGGACATGACTCGATTTATACACATCTGTCTGCCATTGTCAAGTTTATCAACGCATCAAGACCGACCGTGCTTGCTATTCAACTGCTGTCATTGAAAACAACATTCAGTCAGTTCTCACAGTAAACGTCAAGGGCAACACTCATGACTTGTTACAGGATGGGTGCCCTTGTGTGACCTCTTGGCAGCCATACTGGGTTGGTGTATCTGGGGAACTGATGCAGAATTGTCACACATTCAGCTCGGACAAGTTCCTGGATTGAGATGTTTTAGAGGCAGACAACACAGGTAGTGGGAGAGTGGCCTCCACATTCAGCATGACTCTCAGTTTTGCTTCCCCCATCACCAAATACACCTGGCTCGGCTTAGGTAGCATCCGAGTTTCGGAAGACAGGACTGGGACGATAAACTGCACACGCATGCACACACACACGTGCACACGCACACGCACACATTCACACGCACTCGCAGACACATGCACACACCACCCACATACACCCTGTGTCTTCAATGCGTTGCTGCTTCTGTATCAAAGCAAATATTGTGGCCACGCCGCTGTTGCCCCTACTTCTCTTTCAGGGAGTCTCACTGTTACTTACCATATGTTAGATCAACGAACATGTTATAAAACATTGCTCTGACCTGGTTGAAACCTTCACATGTCCCTTGACTGTAAAACCATGTGGATGTCATGCGTTGATCTGGAGAGAGTTGCATACAGTGAGTGAGTGAGTGAGTTTAGTTCTACGCCGTATTTATCAATATTTCCGCAATATCCCAGCCAGGGACACCAGAAATGGGCTTCACACATTGTACCCATGTTGGGAATCGACCCCGTCACCAGCAAACGTTATACCAACAAGGCTACCCTTGCTTGTTACATGGAGTAAACGTTTTGAATAACTTGCAAGAGAATCCTTCAAAGGAAGTTAGGACCTCTCAAAACTTCTTGTAGAAGGCCATATAGAGTCCCAGGCCAAAACTCTGTCGTCTACCATCAGAACTATGTTCCGAAAGTACCCTGATATCTAACCGTTCATCTTTTCTGGACTCACTTTGTTCCAGACACTGGCATGACACTGCTTGACACTGTTTGCCAGTGTTTGCCCTGGGTGTTTTGTACCCTAAAGGCGGAGGAGCCCAATAAATGGTTGGTTGGCTCTTAATCACATTTGGAGTGTTGGCTTTGCGATACTATTAAACACTATAAGACAATGTCAGCAATGGCAGCCGTTACCAGGTAACCGTGATTAAAGTAGAGAGTTTTGAATATTGGAATATACAGATACACATATATATTCAAAGGCAAAAGTTATTGTGACAAACAACAACAAAATCAGTGTTAAACTTTTAGTGCCGAAAATGTTCCCAAAGTATTATAACATGCAAACTAAATCATACACAAGATTACTAATATCTGAACATATTATTCTTGTCTTGTGATTCCAGAGGTAAGTACTAACTATAGATGTTGTTGATGATGTTACCTTTGTTGATCGTCTCCAAAGGCACATTTGAAGGTCATTTCATACATTTGTTTTTAACTCAAGTCATCATCGTAAATGACCTGACTTTGAATGTAGTTAATATGCATTTCTGTTAAATGTCATGTGATGTGTTTTCAGCCAATGAAAACTGGGGATTTTTACCCGTCATATAATAAGTGTCATCAGTGAACAACCATTAAGGCGGGTCTGTGTTCAAAATATTCTCACGGAACCTCTGAATGGACCATCCCACTTTCGGTGACGCCCAGTATTCGTACGTATTCAGGATACTGCATTGCAGTATGCCGGATGCCAAAAATGTGGCTCTCGGTTGCGAACTCACTCAAAACATTTTCACAGTTAACACAATCCTCGGGGATAATTTAATGTATTTTGCATACAAAGAGCTGTGTTAGACTTCCTCATTCAAACAGGTAAGTATGACATACTTTTAATACACATAAATGTAACAGTTTCAGGCCCAAAATCGCCCAACAACCTTACCTACCCACCTACCCACTCACCACACATGTTTAACATCCATGTCAGTTCTATGTCTACGCCCTGACACACATTGTGCAGATATGGTCTAGCATGTAAAACTGGTTTCAATAAGGGAGATAACTCGTACGGGTATACAAGCGTCATTGTGTACCAGCAGTCACTTCCTTCTCGCCTCACGACACGCAAATAATGAGCCGAGTAACGTAATACCCCAGTGGCCATTTATAGTCTGTTTGCAGTGAAAACGTACCGATGAATTTCACTTTAAACAAGAAAGTAAATAGAATAAAGTGAAAGTAAGATTGCGCATCCTCATAACTTTACCTTGTCAATTAAACATTAAAATCACATAATTTTATTCAACTTAGGATAAAAGTTGTTTAACAAACGATCATAGTTTCAAATCGCTATTATTTGTTTGTATTACAAGAGGGTATGCACATTAAATGAAACCCCCGAGAACAAGAAGGGTTGGTTTCTACGGTAGTCTAATTTAAGGCTCATCACGTACTGCACGTGCGTTTGTTTCACTGTTCAAGTGAGTGAGTGAGTTTAGTTTTACGCCGCACTCAGCAATATTCCAGCTATATGGCGGCGGTCTGTAAATAATCGAGTCTGGACCAGACAATCCAGTGATCAACAGCATGAGCATCGATCTGCGCAATTGGGAACCGATGACATGTGTCAACCAAGTCAGCGAAACTGACCACCCGATCCCGTTAGTCGCCTCTTACGACAAGATAGTCACTTTTTATGGCAAGCACATGGGTTGCTGAAGACCTATTCTACCCCGGATCTTCACGGGTCTTTCACTGTTCAAACTACTGCGCGTACCCCCTTGTAATACAAACCAATAATAGCGATTTGAAACTATGAGCGTTTGTCCTAAGCTGAATAAAATTGTGAGATTTAAATGTTCAATTGGCAAGGTAAAATTATGAGGATTCGCAATCTTCATTTCACTTTAGTTTATTTACTTTTTTGTTTAAAGTGAAATTCATCGGTACATTTTCACTGTAAACAGACTATAGTAGTTCTAGATAACTTCTAACATGTTTAGCAGAATGATTCGACTTTGGCGCAACGTTGAGGTGTCAGAGTATGGATACATTTGTTCTTTCTTTAGGGGAAGTGATGTTGGGGTAGCCTTTTGGTTAAAGATTCGATTCACCAAATGGTCCAATATGTTAAGCCTTTTCCCTGATTTCCCTTTTCCACTATTTAGCAACGCAAAATGCACCCATGCACATGAACATTCAATCAACCTTCCACAATGATCCAACACTCACTCACTCACACACTCACTTTACTTTTCGCCCGCCTTCTTTTCACTCTGAGGTGTGAATTGTGTCTATAACAAAGTAATAGCACTGCAAATTACGGAACGCCAGGTGTTAGGGTGGGTAAATGGGTGAGTGCTGGTTTACGGCCATAATTCCATCTGTCTCGCGGTTTGTATCTGGATCAGGCAAACCAGTGGTTGAGAGTGTGGCAATACACAATATCATAGAGTATCGGATACACAATCAGCGAGGTCACATGGTGTGGTGACAATAGAATGGTGAGTGACACATTTCTATTGCATCACGGCGTCTGAACTTACCACACGGGTACAATGTCTGAAGCCCATTTCTGGTGTCCCCTGCCGTGATATTGCTGGAATATTGTCAAAAGCGGCATAAAACTAAACTCACTTACTCATACTCACTCACTCACTCACTCACTGAGCTTAGTGGTCTACGGATTTGTTACAGGGATTCTCAGATTCATGACACAACAATCAAAAGAATTGAAACTACGTTAATTAATTTCATCGCACTATTTAACATCGTATCAGAACGTGTCAGCTTATTAGGTGGTACAGTGGCATTAGAACCCATGATTTCAGGTTCCTGGCAACTCCAAGGGACACAACTCTTACAATTGTTCTTGCAGAGCCTAAAACGACTCGATGGTGGCACCCTGCTCCTTGGTTGTGTGGAATTATCATTATTGTAAGTCTTAATACAAATGACAGGAGAAAATCTGGAAATTAAGTTTTATTCAAGTAGATAATATTTTTTCTATATTGCTCATAGACATGTTATGTTGTCACGAATTGACAAAATCGAAAATTAGGATTTCCTTTCAATTTTATAAGGGTTTTCATTTCTGAACTGATATTCCAAATGCGTACGGATTTGTGCTTCTACACGTAAACCAGGGCATGCACTGCAACAATTACGACAACGTTTCCAGGGAAGATTCCGTTGCCATGGAAATTTGATCCTGAACCTGAAACAGTCAAAAAGTATTACACTAAGGGGCGAAAGAATTTATACCGAGCGTTTTGTATATGTAATGCAACATTGAGTAAATGCCGTTGTTACATTCGATGACATGATCATCCAACCATCACTCGCCCCTGCAACAGTTTATACATTCACATTTTACTTCATCCAAACCTCATTACATGTTGAGACATCTTTATGGATCAGCAAGTCCTGAAATAGTACACAAATGCAAGGGTGAACAGAATCCCATCGGATTTCACCTCTCATAATTCATCTCTCACTTTAATTCAATGGCGGGGCGGAGGGGTAGCCTAGTGGTTAAAGCGTTGGGCTCGTCACGCCGAAGACCTGGTTCGAATCCCCACAACGGTACAATGTGTGAAGCCCATTTCTGGTGTCCCCGTCGTGATGTTGCTGGAATATTGCTAAAAGCGGCGTAAACCCAAACTCAGTCAGTAATTCAATGGCGGCCATAGCGCTTGTTCGGAGAAAAAGTCCCTGCAGTGGTGATCGGGTGGTTAAAATGACTAATCTTTCTGATGGTGCGTCATCAAATAAGCACATTACAAATGCTGTTTGTGTTGATGGGTTATATGTGACCCGACTGGAGTGTTTGTAAGCTATCGTAATTAAGCTGGAACATTGCTGACGATATCGTTATTTACAACAAACACAAATATGTTTCATTGGAGTTTGTAAAAAAGAACTCTCCTACAAACATATGAAGCAATTTGATTCACGATTTAGCTCCGGGACTGTTTAACTTCCGTAATTCAAACAAGCTGACGAACCCCATAGTAATCTCTCAGCACGCCCCGTTTATTCCGCATATTTCTACTTTCTGTGAATCATATTTTTAGAGCTTGAGATGGTTGTTTAAAAGTTATTCACACATGGTCATGCAATGAAATATTTTTTCCTATATAATACCTGAACTATGCTGTTCCAGCATCGCCTGTAAGAGGGGCAGCAGATTGTCGTCTGCCGTGCTGTCGTTTGCGCCGTACTGGTCACGTGCAGTGCTGTGTGTCGGTTCCGCCTGTGGCTGGAGTGACGCCTGCAGATCCTCGGCCGCCATGACCATATCCATGATGGAGCTTCCAAGGTCAAAGAAATCTGGACCGTATTCCAAAAGCAGTTTAGCAGCTTTCTTGAGTTTATTGCGGGCCGAAGCAGATCCCTCGTAAGCTCTTTTCATCGCCTCTCGGAACGTCTTCCTTAATACGTGCTTTTTCGGGTGATTAATTTGGGCGGCAAATCCATCGACCTGGTCCCTTGTCTCTCTGTACATCGGTTTATCGTTATGTGGGTCGTTGGCGTCGTCGATGTCAGTGTTGGCATCATTCTGCCGTCGCGAGTCGTGACTGTGACTGTGACTCCGCGCATCATCACTGTCAGAACCTGCTCTGAGTCTCGGCGAATCGTCGCCAGTCAGCTTGCGCGGTGGCATGACCGCCATTGGTTTAATATGAATCCTGGGTTTAAAGCTGGGTGTTCTCATTCTAAAACCAAATCGTGCTCTTTTCATTCTCCGAAGTACTTGATCTTTCATATTGGTGTCCCTTGTCTGTGTGTCTTCATCACGTGATGCTGACGGCCCTGATTCCATGGTCAGTGTCAAGGATAAACCCAGCAGCACGAGGAAGCAGATCAGCATGCATGTGAGTGCCATCGTCGGAGTAACCGGTGGGCTGATAAAGAGGGTTAAATAGTATACATTAAAAATTCGTTCGGATCAAATCCCTATATGTTCATACATCTGTGGGACGTACAGATCGGTATACACCCCCAGAAGTTCGTCCCAACCAACTGAAATGCCGAAAGGAGCTTCCCAGATGATACGTCCCCGACATGGAATGGACAGTTCTCGGTGTCATCACCGACAGGTAGTCGAAATAAATTACAGGTTCTAGTGACTGCATTGCATCCGATTTTCGTCGGCAGGACACAGGTATTTTTTTTATGAAAACGCTAACGGTAGAGAGGACATATAGAACAAACTTTATGGATAACATTTTCTTTTTATTCGTGAGTGCGACGTTTCGGTACAGATTCTTGTACCGTTGTCAAGCATAAACGGTACAAGAATCTGTATCGAAACGTCGCACTCACGAATAAAAAGAAGTTGTTTTCCATAAAGTTTGTTCTATATTGTACTTCCCAACTTCTAAAATGCCACTCAAAGAAGTTAGAGAGGACATACTTAGCCGTTTCGCGAACAACTGGAATCTACACTGATTTTCTGTGATTCATTTACATTGAGCGAAATATATATTACCCATTACCCTTTAGCGATATTCGAGCATTATCTCTGGGAGGGACACCAGAAATGGGCTTCACGCACTGTACCCATGTGGAGAATCGAAACAGCGTCTTCGGCGTGACGAGCCAACGCTTTTACCACTGTGCTACCCACCCCACCGCCCCTGAAATACATCCTGTTATATGTACAACGTCAACCCTGAAGAGCACCCCCGATATAAAAAGCCAAATAGCATAGAAATGTATATGAATGGTTCAGTGGAAATCAGTGACGACACACAGCCACATTTACCGCCATCTTCAACAAAGGACTTGTCTTCTGTGGAAATACACTGAATAGGCGGTGTTTAAACAAACTGACATTAAACAAAATGATCAAATATTGATTAAGGGTAGGACATTTGGTTACGGAAAACACTGTATATGATATTGGGCAACATGAAAATATTGTCTGCATTTGGATAGGCTTCCATTTTGGAAACAAGATGTAAAATCCCGTCTGCAAAGAAAAGTATTCAGACAAATATTGAAATATTCTGCCAGTTAACTCTTTAATTTAAACGAAGTCGAAAAAAATATCACTACATTCATGAGTATCAAACCTTTACTAGTAAGAAATAAACTCATAAAATATTATATCAATATAGTTAATATACAGAATCGCTCGTCGTCGTACATTGAGTTGAACGGTGCTCATAACATCCATCACTCTATTTTCTGGTTTATTATTTATTGGTGGGGCGCTGAGGTAGCCAAGTGGTTAAAGCGCTGACTCGTTACGACGAAGACCTGGGTTCGATTCCCCAGATGGGTACAATATGTGAATCCTATTACTGGTGTTCCCCGCAGTGATATTGCTGGAATATTGCTAAAAGCGGCGTAAAACTATACTTACTCACTCATTATTATTTATTGGCGGATTTCAACAAGGCGGAATGTATCTGAACGTGTTGACAAACAAACAAACAAACAAAAAACAAACATACCAGGAGGCGGCCTTCTCCGCCCGTTTTCGCTCAGCTGTCTGTACAACTTGATGTAGGGTAAGGTGTGTCTTGAGCCCAGGTCCGTGGCGGGAATGTCCCTAACGCCACACTACCCCCTTTATACCCCCCAACAAGGAAGCTCTGTGTGGCAATTTCCTCTAACTGCAGCATTTGTACATGAGAGGAAATTGGCGACATGAAATTTTGAGATTGAAAAGGGGATTCACCTATCTGAACCAAGGTTTTGAGTTCACATATATGAACAGCGCTAGCTTATTGCGCCACCAACCTTTTATTCGGGCTGAATTTGTCTCTTAGGTGAAATTTCACTAAACAATTTACACTTGGATTATTCAAAATAACTCTCAGCCAATAGGGACAGTGGGTAACCTAGTGGTTAAAGCGTTCGTTCGTCATGACGAAGGTCCAGGTTCGATTCTCAACATGGGTCAATGTGTGAAGTACATTTCTGGTGCACCCCCGACCCCGTGATATTGCTGGAACATTGCTAAAAGCGGTGTTAAACTCAACTCACTAACTCACTCTGCCAATGATACTTAGCCTCTTTGTATTTTAGCAACGAACATAGCTGTAGCAAACTAGAATCCATGTAATGTTTACCCTCTGTACTTCATAGTTCATGCGGAAATCGAGTTTTCTATACACCAGATAAACACATTCTGTCAATAAACTCATACACTTTCAATTCGAAACAATTTTTTACACGTAATTAAGCACATTCTAGTGTGCATAATGTAGAAAATCGGAAAATCCATTCCATTTTAGTAGCAGCCACTAAATTTCTTTAGCGATGGGGCGACTAGTGTCCTAGAATCACCCCAAAATCATCTCACCTTCTCCCTAAATTTCTTTATTTACTCAGGTGCCTCCAACGTTGCATTTTCAAAAGGCTTTTCTTGTTTTCCTTGCGGTTTGACTGGGATATATATGTTTTTTATTTCCCCAAAGGAGAGTTACAACAAGATGGAAAATGCATTCATAGTTGTTACAAGTAACGAGGATGTTAGTTTAGTGGTAATCATGAATAGAGTTAAGAGTCTTTCTGGAATGCGTACCGGTTTGTAAACACAGTCTGAGCGTAGAGGTTTGGAGCGCATGTTTCTGGGGTGACAGGAGGTCTGGAGGATAACAGACATTGCACCAACTCTATGTCTGGTTTGGCGTGCAGTGCTACAGATTACTTCTGGCAGGCTGACGTCAATGAGGGAGCAGACAGACTGTCTCTCTGGCATTGGTAGTTTGGGCCGTGACAGATCACGTGAGTCAAGAGATCATTATATTGCTGTCTATAGTTTGGGCAGTCACTACACTAGCGTTATTCATTTTCGACTACGTTTAAATTACAAAGTAGAGAGACACGTTAATTATGTATATCTTTTATCTAAATACTTTCTATATTAAGGATACATGCAATTCTACAATCTGTTACCAAAATATAAGCCTAACTTCAGACATATCTTACGTAGTAGCAGGGATACTCTACAACAGGGATAGGTCACTCGCTTGCTTTCTTTACCATTTGTACTAATTAACGTGTGCCTCGTCATGCTCCAACGCACACAGTGACTTGGTTCGGTCCCAGCGCAACTTCGGCTGCGTTTAACAGTACTTCAGCCAGTGTATTGTATAGGTCGGAATTTTACAATGAATGAATGAATGAATGAATTAAGAGCAAGAATTTTATGTGAATGAATGAAAGAAATTAAGAAAAAGAACAAAAGAAAAAGAACATATGTGAATGAATGAAAGAATAAATGATACACCACGGCCATCCCTCCCCAAACATGTTAAAGAACGCAAAACTATCGGTAGAACACATGTTAACATCAGCTGTCCTTTTTCCAAAAAATTACTTTGAGACATTTTTTTACATTAGTAACTAATTCAGATATCTTATTGCATGTGTGGAGTGACATGGGCATTGACAGAATGTTAACTGACACTGTCACAGACCCCTCAAGAACAGAAAGTTTAGAACTATCACAAAGCCTTGCAAACACCTTTCCAGTTTTGTCAAATACTAAGATCAACAAGAAAGAAAGAAGTTTTAGAACTATAACACTCAAGCATCACAAGCACCAATGGCGTATCAGAACAGATCGGCGATATGTCATATTTTTCACACACCTCAAATACACACTAACAAAAAAAATAATTTAAAACTATCACTATTACTTGCAAAACACTTTCACCTGATGGTATATTCCCCTCATAAAAATTAAAGGTGTATGTGAAAGATGTTTTAGAACAATAACTAGAAACACTCAAACAACGCCCTGTAGTATTTCAATGGCAGATCGGCGATATGTCATATTTTTCACACACCTCAAATACACACTAACAATTTTTTTAATTATAAAACTATTACTATTACTTGCAAACACCTTTCACCTGATGGTATATTCCCCTCATAAAAATTGAAGGTGTATGTGAAAGATGTTTTTGAACACTAACTAGAAACACTCAAACAACGCCCTGTAGTATTTCAATGGCAGATCGGCGATATGTCATATTTTTTACACACCTCAAATACACACTAACAATTTTTTTTAAGTTATAAAACTATCATTATTACTTGCAAACACCTTTCACCTGATGGTATATTCCCCTCATAAAAATTGAAGGTGTATGTGAAAGATGTTTTTGAACACTAACTAGAAACACTCAAACAACGCCCAGTAGTATTTCAATGGCCGATCGGCGATATGTCATATTTTTCACACACCTCAAATACACCCTAACAAATTTTTTTTAGTTATAAAAATATCACTATTACTTGCAAACACCTTTTAACTAAAGGTATATTTCCCTTCTAAAAATTAAACGAATATGTGAAAGAAGTTTTTAGCGATATAATTTAGTCTTTCTTCGCTGTGTACTGAGAATTGAAGCCAGTGAGCTACAACGTGCCCACTTGAAACTTTACTACAAAGCTACTGTACTTATACTGACACTAATAACAAGTATTTGACTTAAAATGAAGTGACAGAATAGGTAACTTATCTTCTACATGTAGGTTTTCAGTTGTCACAACACTCAGCGTATGTAATCAGCTGTTGAAAATAAATCGGGCTCAATCTTAAAAACTACGCTACCGCCATATTGGCTGCACTGGTCACGTGACGAGCCGAGGCATAGCTTAGGAGCTTTCTGAGGAGTGACCACTCCCCCTTATAGAGTCTCCCTGGTAGTAGTATCATATAGGAACAGATTTTCAGTAAGCATTTTTAGTAACCTTGATCTATATTTTATCATCTTCACGGGTTATGCATTTAGCGCAGCGTGGGAATCTGTTTCGTTTTGTTCTTTTACTATGGTTCAAAGGAATTATGTGCGTACAAGTACAATGTTTGCTTGACAGTTCGTGTTGTTAACTAGACGACTGACGTAACATAATTTACGCATTTGCAGCTGCAAGAAGGATATGTTTCATTTATATGTAAAAAACAATATTCTTTTCAAAGCACTGCTAAATATTTACATTTACTTCAGACTATATATTTTTACTTTGTACCACCAATATACATTATACTTAGTGCCATATTTCTGATTCGTAACAACTATCGATTCTCATTTTCCTTTTCATGAAATTTGTTCAACTTCTATGGGTGTATCAATATGACGTCAGTGTATTATATCCACTCTTTTTTAAAAAATAAGTGCTTGGGATTTCCCTCTTCTGCACCCACGTGACACTTCCTTGCGGTAAACTATCGGTTTGCACATAGTTGCCATGATCACATGGTGCTGTTGAATTTCCTCTTTGTGTCTAACTACATCACCCAATATCGCACGATGCCTGTGCGTGTTTGACAGACATTTGTTGACCGATAAGGGTCAGCGGTTTTACGCCTTCTAGTAGGACCGTGGGAAGGCAATAAAGCGTAAACAGAGACAAGAAAGCGATTTTGAATTGCTTTGTCGTTGTCTCTTTTTCTCGTCTAAAGGCATTAAACGTGTTTGTATTTGTTGAAAAAAGTGGGATGGGGAGGAAAGTCGTGTGGGGTGTTTGTTTCATAAGGCCATTCGTCACCACGCGTCCCTTTCCGTGGTTTAAACATATTTATATTCCTAGAGAATCTGGTTTGGTAAACAAGCAGAACTCTGCTTATACCAATACCTCACCAGTACATATATCATTTAAACAAAACACACAAGAACTGGATACACAAACCGACAAATTAAATCATATATGTGCGTTGTAGGTGCTTATAAACCTTGAGCTTGCAGCTACACTTCATTATTGATTGCATATAATTGTCTAGAATAGTTTATCAAATCGTTTAGACTTAAAGATGTATTGATGCAGGGACTCTATTATGTTCTTATTGACATTGTTGTTTGCCGGAGGTATTCCGTATAACACAGTTTGGAGATTGTGGCCAATTACATAGAAGTGGGTATTATTTCTAATAGCAGTGTATAACTATCCACAAGAGCATTCAAGGTTGTTAGAAATGTGTCTATTTACTTTATCCGCATTCAAATTACTACAGCCGAGCTTAAGTCGACAGTGTATGATCTGACAGAATCGACTGCCATAATTTAAATCTAGATAATTATTTGATTCATCATTTTTAAGCAGAGATTTGAATTCATCGATTGAGTTAGCGAATACTAAATTATCAGGTAATGAATTTCAAATTTAATTGTGTCAGGTAGGAACGACTTTTAATATATATTTAGTCCTACAATTTATTGTTTGTAACTTAAATGTATTATGGAGATTATATTGACTGTTTTCAGAGACAAAGTTAGGGACAAGGTCACAGAGGTATTCAGGTGCGAGATCGTTATTCATCTTGTACAAATTTATTGGTTTAATGTCCTTCTTTCTTTTAATGGTTTAGACTTTGTTTCGATATATAACCTATGATATATCGCCGCATGTTGTACGAAGTGCATCTAGATGTAACCATTCAAGAATAAGGGACTGATCATGTGTACAATTATCCCAGATATGACAACAATAATAACATATCGGCATCACAAAAGATTTGTACATGGTTTCTAGCGTTTTTCTGGAGAGGCGATATTTAAAATTTCGGAGACAATATATCATGGGGCTAACTTTCTTACAATATCTTCAATATGACTTTTCCATCCACAATCACTCTGTAGAGTTATACCTAGGTGTTTATGACTTTCCACTTCTCGTATCAGGGTTTGGTTCATGTTCAAGGTCGGAATCGATTATTCGAGAAAAATTGATTGTTTCGGTTTTATCAGGGTTGAAGGTAGTTTGCCACTTGTCTGCCCAGCTAGATATACGGTTTAAATCATCGATCAGACAGGATGCGGACCTCGATGAATGTTATGTGCGAAAAAATGACAAACCAATCAGAATGCGTGGAAGGATTGAGGTATTTGATAAAAATAATCCTAAGTACATTCATCGGTTATGGCATATTATGATTGCTTAAATCATCGTGAAATATATATATCTTCATTTTGACGTTATAAAGAACATAGCTACCAGATTTGTGCTGCCTAATCTGATGTTTCAAAATAATGATAGGAACATGAACGGCGAGAGATGCAATACATCCGTGTGTTTGTTCACATAACGGTTTTCACATTGAGCGTTGTCTCTTGCAGTATTCGATATTTAACGTGCGGTTTCCGACATTTTCTGGTAGTGTAATTTTACACGAGTTTCAAAACAATATATTTATATATACTCTTAAAAATGTAGGGGAACTTCATTTTTTATTTACGACTGAAAATATTGGGATATACATAGATATGTTGATATGATAATAATGCATGTTTTGAGAGTGCATCACCACTTGTACTTCCTTATGAAGACCGTCAAAATCAAGAATGACACCCATTGGGTTACTGCGTTGTGCATGTGCATTTCATGCCTTGTGTTCAGGGGAGGTGATAAGAGAAATAGCTGTTTGTTCATAAAATGTCTGCCTTTGAAAAAATTGTTAACGCTTATACTTCCCATCCAAATTGAAAGTTCAGCTTCCCCTACTTTTTTTAAGAGTATATCATTGATCAACATTTATCTTGAACACAGAGCTTACATTTCACTTCTCTGGGTATATTTTAGTTTGACATTTCATACATTTCGTATTCATTTAAAGTTTTGTTATAAGGTAGAAATGCAACCCCTGAAGCATTAAGTGAATTACATCAGATTCCGTATTTAGATTTGCAGTCTGACTCAGGACTGATAACGTTTGGCTCATGACTGATAACGGTTAAACACAGAATGGAGACAGAAAGTCGGGAATAAGAGACAGATAAACATTGAGATTTGAACTTGGCTAAAGCTGTCGCGAGACAAGGACACGACAAGGTCGTCAGAGGAAAATTACGAAATACATCAGTTAAAGGGTGGAGACGGAAGTAACAAATCACTGAAAAGGGGAGTCACTGAACGGTGCTGCCCGATACCCCTCTAATTACAATACACATGAGTGAAATGTCAGATACAGTTATTAATGAATCAAAACGATAATGTTGAAATAAGTGATCAAGATCAGGTCAGGCTCGTCTCATTTAAAAATACATGTTGGGCGCTAAGAGCTCAGGGTGCGGAGAGTACTAGCTCAAGATTTCAGTTCTCCGTGTGGTACAAGGATACCCTGTCTTGCGTTGAAATTGTAATTGCAGAGAGATGGACTGACACAGAGTAAACCTATGTATATAACCTGGCGTTGCGTTTATCCTTTAATGTTTGCGTGCCAGTACATAAATGTAATGCGGTTAATTAGGAGCCAAGGTCGCCCGACCCCTCATTCCTTGTCTTAGCATCCTTGGACTGATCAAGAGAGTGGAGATACTGAGCTACCATCTCCCCTGACAATGTGGAACGGCCATACTTAGTAAGTGAGTGAGTGAGTGAGTTAAAATTTTAAGTCACATCGGCAATATTTCAGCCATATCGTGACTAAAGCAAGTTATAAATATATCAACAATTTAGGTGAAATGATAAAATTCTGCCGACGAAGGACAGTAAAATAACTAGATTATCACAGATATACATGTAAAACTAGTAATTGAATCTAAAACATTTTAACTAGAGGGGACAACACAATATAAAAATGGGCTATAGATCGCCACCAACTGAAGGTAGATCACCATGCTAGGAGCCATGGGCACTTACATAACTTTTGCTACCTGCATGGATCCTAGCTGGATTTACACCATCCCTTCAGCCGCTGGCCATTGTAGGAAAATTTAGCCAACAGTTAAAATAACAAAAATACTACGTTTAAAATGTGATAATTTATATTTTACTTGGAAAGTTTTGGGACTTACGTCTTAGTAAGTAACGGTTGTAGGGTTTACTAACGCCCAAACGCCAGTTACGACAGTTTCACAAGGTTTATGGCAGCAAAATTTTAGATACAAGTGCGGACATCTGGTAGATTTCCTCTATACTAAATCGTACTTCGAATGCTTATTTTGTGTATCTATTTAACAGCTGATAAAATGCTATTTTTATTGCTACTTCATGAAAACCGTATTTAGAAATATACATTTGGAAATACAAGGTTAAAATATTTTAAAAGCAGAAACTTTCGAGTGCTTTAGTAATGTGTATTACTGTTGTAATTAGACAGGAAGTGAGTTATCGTTCTTGTTTGAAGTAGGTCTGATGTTCACACACCCATATGAAATCCTTCTCGAGGGGCACGAGTACCTAATCGGGTTGTCCCGGAATAACACGAGTGGGCCACTAATGGAAAGGATCACATCGGGATCATTCGGCAGGCGGGTAGCAAGCCATGTTTTCGTGTAAGCCCGGTAGGTTGCAAAGCTTCATATTTAGATAGTGTTGAGGGCTTGCCCAACTTTCATTTTCATAATCATGTCTAAGCCCGGGCTTTTTATAGTGGCAGCTACGCCCATGGTCGGGATTACTCGTGTCAATCGGGGTCTCGTGCCACTCGGGGGTCAGTTCAGTCCCGTCCGGGATTCGAACCTACACCATCAGAGTCAGCCACCTAATCGCCAGCACACAAAGTCAGCCACCTAACCCGCTCAGCCACTAGTGGAAGCTGGGGGGATGAGCGGGTAAGGCGGCTGACTTTGTGTGCTGGCGATTAGGTGCAGGACTCTGAAGGTATGGCAATATCACGGCGGGGGACACCAGAAATGGGCTTCATGTACCTATGTGGGGACTCGAACCTGGGACTTGAGTGTGACGAGCGGACGCTTTAATCATTAGGCTACCACGCCGACCCAGCACTTACGTGTACACTCATCGAAATGTGTTGCAACCTCATAAAAGGGATGTAATCTCACAGAAAATATAGTTTTTTATTTATACGATATTTATACAGCGCACATATCCAGGCAGCTAGTGCTTGCTCAAGGCGCTGGTATTTTGTCCCTCGATCATTTGATGTCAATCTCAACTCCCTGGGGAGTATGCAACTCTTGCAGCCACTAGGCGCACTGAGTTATTATGGCTTTCTCATCCGAACGAGGTACCCATTCACAGCTGGGTGGACTGGGATAGATAGTCACAGTACATTTGTCCAAGTTCACTGCACGTTTCTGTACCCGCAACTAGGTGTTTGCACGTATTCATGTGGCCACCGTCTGATCATATACCAACGGAATCGCGGGTTCTTTTAATTGCACAGGGTTGTGACTGTACACTGTACACAAAATATAGTAGCACAATTGCTGTGTAATCTAATACAATGGATGTTATCTCGCGACCACGTGACGGTGTAAAAAAAACCAGAGATAATGTTAGGTCCTCAGGCCAGTTTGTGTCAAGTTGCTATCTATAGATTAGGTTGTAATCAGAATGAATGCGGTAGAGGTTTATTTCTCTAGCGGCGTGATGATAGTTCAACTCAAACATCAAAAAGAGTATATTTATTATAATAGAAATTGTACAGCATAACAGAAATACAATATTGTACACAGCTCTATTCCAAGGAAAGAGATGTCATCCCTGAGTCAAAGCATTGACATAATTAATAATTAAGTTCCAACAGAGCATTTGACATCCGAGGACCAAGTGCTCAATTGTTTGTAGAAGTTCATCAAAATGGTATTGAAGATGCTATTTGCCTTTGCACTCGCTAATCAAATGCCTTTGGATTGAAGACAATAAACACGATTCATTTATATTGTCTGTCATTAGATATGTACCTTTTGTCCAACATGTATGCTTCGTTTATGCAATACACAACATGGATAAAGCAGCATGTCTCTATGCATATATATATATATATATATATATATATATATATATATCAAATATAATAGTTTCAGATAACACTAAGGAAAGAAATTCTTTGTAAAATATGGCACGTTTGGCAGATTTACACTACTGAAAACTGCTATGTTTTAACATTTGGTCTCATTATACTTCTCAAACGGAACCATGAATCTCACATGGCGGTGTGCCCTGCGTCTCTGACGTTGTCCAGTTCTATCTCATCATGCCCTTTAAGCCCTTTAAAGTTTTCATACAGTTCCACGTCTTCAGTATCAGCCGCCGTCTTGGATTGATCCTGTCTCTTCCTGTGTTTGTCCCGGACCTTTTCAGCCGGTGCTCGTTTCCTTATTGGTACATCAGGCACACCCTGTTCAGCCTGCTGCTGTTCCTCCATTCTCTTTGCCATGAGTGTTGCTTTCCGGACGAGAGATTTAGTGATATGTGGACTAGATTCACTAAGACTCACTATAGCCTTAACAGACTTTTTCTGATAGCGGCGAAAGGTCTTCGGCCTATCTGTGGTAAGTGGGCCTCCGAACTGCTGAACATCTTGTGCAAGCTTGGCAAAATTTCCAACGAACCTTTCATCAAAGGTCGCTGGTGTATCTGCTTCTGCCTGCTGTGTTCTGTGCCTCCTACTCTGTATTTTGGCCCACTTCACTTTCTGGTTATTCTCAAACGGGTCGGGTGTTTGCTCGATCTCCAGCTCAGTTGCATCTTCTTGGTAACGCTGGAGATCCTTTGTAAGTTCAACATACTCCTCACCCTTCACCTCCTTGTCAGACGCTAGTTTCTCTTTGGTCTTCCTCAGTGTCTTCCCTATGTCCCGGACGTCTGTGATGGACGTGATATGGAGGAATGTGGACAAGCGATGGACAAACATGGACAGGAACTGGATGACCAACAACACTCCAAACACAAGCATGAAGGTGATTGAAATTGGTTCAAACTGATCGCCTTGGAATCTTGGATCTGGACATGGCAATTGGATCTTAAGGTTCGGTGTATAATTGGATACCATTTGAAGTGTAAAGATTAATATGATAAAAAGAACATTGATAAGAAAGAAAAAGAGACAGGTTTTGTTCCGTAGCTCCAGCAGATCATTCTTTATCTTGTCTTGTTGTTCTTTATTCTCTTCCAAAGGCAACAAGTATTGCTCTATCAGCTCTTTCCAAAACGTGACCTCTGACCCGTCGAGATCTTTAAATTGTCCTTCACCTAGGTCAGGATCCAGGATCCAGTACGGGTCACTGTCGTAGGGCTCATTTTCTTCGACCTGCTCTTGGATGGATTCGCCTAAGATATAAAATATGGTCAAGGTGTTAAAAAAATTCAGTCCACTAATCCAACAAAGTAGCTTCAGTGTCATCAATGTTGTAATGCATACTGTACAATCATCTTGAGCATACTCAGACAACTCGTAGCAATATTATAATACTCATACGTTATCTAAAGTATATTTACTGTCTTCACTTTGGTTTATCTTTGTTCTCTGTAGTTGGCATTTGTTTCTGAGCAGCATGTCCCTGCAGGTTTTATCATAGAATTATCCTTAACATGAATCACAAGGCCCGAATGGCACATCGTCCCAAGGCAGGGGAGTTTACTGACTTTCCGTCCATACCGAAATACGCATTGTCGGAAAGTGCACGAAAATTATCTAAATCATAATCTCATCATAATCATCATCATCATCATCATCATCATCGTCGTCGTCGTCGTCGTCGTCGTCGTCGTCGTCGTCCTTACTGAACTATGTTACAAGTTCATGTCACGATCGAAGTGCCACCAGTGACTAATAGGAACTCTCTCGTCTAAGTCTCTCTTTTTGGACAATCAGATTAAACGTATCATAATACTTATTGTAATAGAGTTCACCTTACAAAATGCATCAACTTTTTTTGACAAAGATATCGATGCCAGAGGAAGTGCACATGCTTTGCAGATAAACTGCGGGGCAGTTTTACGAACTGAATGTCGATTTTGATTCGCATTTACTCTTTATCCCAGTTGAAACATAACTCCGAAATTTCAGCCTGGTTCACCAATGGTTGAAGCTGAGCATCAGGAAAATGCAGAAGGCATGGTATGCTGTTAAATGCAACAATGAAGTCACTCACTAACTTATCCCTACACAGCTCATAACATTATCTGTGCTATTTTCCTGATACACCGTTATCTTCTTCTAGACGTTACTTTCAGCCTTGCATTCTTGTCAACTGTATCAAAATTGCTCTTTGCATCTGGACGGTATTTGATTCACTTCGTGCTGGCAATCTTGATGTACAGCGCTGGTTGTAAAACATCGTATTTGTTTGATATCGTGCTAAATTGTTTACATGCAAGAAATCAACCTCGGTTTCCTCAAACCGTTCTATTTTTCCTTTACAGTATCAAGTTGACATTTGGTTAGATCTTTAACGCAGTCGATTACATGGCTATTGTACAAGCTTCAGTGTACGTTCTGTGCTATTGACCGTGTTCGTGATGTACCTCCTGCAGAATATACCACATTCACCTATCTACAGGTCTTTATGCAGATTGAAACTCAGTTTATTGCCATGAAAACTGACATTTCTTGAAATGACAAACTTTGAAATTTTTGTTATAACTGAAGGCAATATGCCTTGTCAATGGTATGACACTGTCTTCCTTAATATAAAATCAAATCTTTAGGATCCTATTTCAAGTATTGAAGACGAATGTTTCTGAGTGATGAACCTTTGCATTTACTGATTCCAGAGTACTTACCTGGTAAAGATGCCAGTCTTCGCTGTCTAAATTGTCTGGCATTGGAATCACTTCTTTGGGGACCTAAGTAAGAACATTCACGTTGGGATTCATTTGTGTGTATAAAATAAAATAACAAAAGAGTGGGTGGATATATGGCTGGGTTTATGGAAATGTCAGCTTTAATTTATAGCATGCAAGTCTAATGGGATCAAAAACAATTCATTGCCTTTTACGTCCAACAGAACAGTACGGTGTGATTATCTCTCGAGTTTACGGGTGTTATATATACTGAGGCTCAAATGCCTACAAAATCACCGCTCTGGCAACAGAGATATTTTCTTTCATTCTCTCATTGAGTGATTTATAATTTGTTCCAGAATGTGCAAGAAAATAGATTGCTGCATTTTGTTCACTATATAAACTGAAGAAGGCAAACTATCAGGTACCCAAGATATGTTTAACTTCTCAAACATATATACATTCTTACAGTACATGGTACACACCTTTTGGTGGCTCCACCACTGCAGCTTCGATTTTCTCCAACCTCTCTATCACCTTGTCCAGCTGGTCCTTGTTGGCAGTGGAGGAACAGCATACACACCTGCACAGTGCGTCCCACACCCCTCCTTCATCCGACCCGGTGATCCGATTCCACATCTGCTCTAATGCATTCATCTTCTTCTTCTCAGGCTGTTGCCCTGGTGGAGGTGCTGCTTGCTTAGTCTCGCGAGTTCCCCACGAGACTACGTGTAGGTTGCCAAAAGAGTAGATCATGAGGATCATGGACATGGTAGGGATGGCCAGGAAGTACAGGAAGCCATGGAGGATGCACATGAACTCTTGAGGATGCAAGATGGCGGCTACCAAGAAGATTCCAATGACGATCACAAGGAAGATGGTTGCAGTGGAGCAGAATCCGTATGTTGCTGCCTGTTGGATCAGCCCTACTATCACCAGCATCATCACCAGACTGTAGACGATGGATATGATCGCGGCATAGCCAAGCTGAAGGATGACGTACGCTTTTTTATCAGAATATATAATAAAAGTGAAATTATTACAGACTTTTGGCTTGAGACTTGTATGGTACAAATGCAGCCTTTCGTTTCAGCTACCAAGACCCTTGTCCTGAAACATCACCTGCTGTATCGCGTATATATAAGATGACAGTATATGTCCAAAGGACTCTTAACCATTTAAGTTACGCAAATAGATGAAAACTGAAGCAAGGCAGTCAACCTTTACTGGTTGGAGGTCCTGCATATAAAAATAGCTACCTGTCTCACTTATAGCCTCTGGTTATCTTGCAGTGCGAGGTCATTCTTTCTCACCCATGTCACCAAATATCTCAACTGTCTATGCACGTTATCTGTATGAGTCAGTCCGAACATACGTTTGCATGGACATATTTAATATGATTCAGGTCTCAAATACGTGCCCATGCATGTATATGATATGACTCAGGCCACAATTACGTCTGCATGATATGATTCGGGCCTGAAATACGTCCCCATACACGTATTATATATGATTCAGGCCTCAAATAAGTCTTCACGTACGTTTTTGATATTATTCAGGCCAGAAACATGTCCCCATACACGTATTATATATGATTCTGGCCTCGGATACGTCTGCATGCACGTGTTTGATATGATTCGGGCCTCAACTACGTCTGCATGCACGTGATTGATATGATTCAGGCCTCAAATTAGTATGCATGCACGTGTTTGATATGATTCAGGCCTCAAATAAGTCTCCATGCACGTGTTTGATATGATTCAGGCCTCAAACAAGTCTCCATGCACGTACATGTATTTGATATGATTCAGGTCTCAAATAAGTCTCCATGCACGTATTTGATATGATTCAGGCCTCAAATAAGTCTCCATGCACGTATTTGATATGATTCAGGGCGGAAAAAGTCTGCCCTGTCACATTTACCTGTATGTTGGTTTTGGCCACGAAGCAGAGAAGAACGAAGACAGCGACTGGTACGAGGTTAAGGATGAGGGCACCAAATAATGGCATTTGAGGGAAGGCAACATTAATGGCTCCAACGATGAGGAGGAATATGGTTCCTGGAGTTACGATGGAGGATGCCATCAGTGCCATCTGGTAGATGATGTACAGACAGGAAATATCTGCATTCTTTCTGGTGACACTCTTCCAGTCCTACAAAACAGCATAGTTCCCCAGTGTTGGTTACTCATCACAAACTCTGAAAGCTACCCCTACATATAGGGAACATATTTATGGCGAACTGATGGATATGATTTTAAGGTGCCCGCCTCATGTTGTATATTTCAGTCAAGATGCTTATAATGACAGGCTGTCATAACAACAATTTCAGGTCCCTATGGTTTCATTATGACCATAGTTTAACTGTACTATTTACAGCATTTTGCATTATCTTGTATGCATTTCGTTGACACAAACACGTCCTTAAAAATTCGATTTTGGTGAGTAGGAGGGACAATAACAATATGGTCTTATCTGAATACATATGACTTCATGTATGAGCGTAATTAAAATTTGTCTCGAATTTTAATGTGTTATATGGCAGATTAGGTCTAGTGTGCGGGCATCGTTGAGGAGAACATGCAAGTTTGCATTAGGTGGAAAATAATTGTTCAACCTTTGTCTTTTTAGTATTGACGACAAAATCTTTGTAAATTATCGCCCGAAGAAAATGTATTTCTTAGTTCGATATTTTCAATTCCTATCTCACATTTTACCAACATATTGTTATGTATAACAACCAATGGTGCAACATCCGACCGCCATAGCAATTCAGGGGAAGGACAGGTCCGAATTGGGTTTGTCAAGCATCGGTTTGTCAGAAGTTTAGCCTGAACAAATAAATCGTGTAAATAGGGATTCCGTTGCAACTTATGATGATATCACCCCACAATCGTTTGTGTAAGAGGATGGTGATTGTAGCCTAAGACTAAAATCGCGATGTTAACGATTTGCAATGATCGTAGCGCCAAGACTGTTTTGTGTATGTGGGCCCAGTTGAATTGCTGTTGGAGCAATATACTAACGCTTAGTCTCTTCCCTATTATATAATTGTGATAGAAGCAAACAGTTTCTTTTAAATTTTAATTTGAAAAGAACCTCAATGAGAAGGTGACCCTGCGGAATACGTGCTTCCTGCTTCATTTAGCGCTTTATTATTGCAGGAAGATTTCTCAGAAGGCAAAATGAAGCGGTTCAGGGACTCTGAGACCAAAGGATTACCTGGAGGAGGTCCAGCGTGTTAGCCATCGTTGATGGGGTCCAACGACGACGCTGATTGAAGAACTCGTAAAATCCCTCCGGTGCAAACGTAAATGAATCGGAAGCTGCGCAGTACTCGACTCGGTAGCCTTGCTGTAAGAGCAGTGTGCACAACCAGCGATCCTCACCTTCAAGTAAAAGTGACTCTGGTTTCAAAAATCATTTGACGTATGAACCGTTATTCAACATTCGCTAAGGAAAGTGGAGGTTTGGTAAGATATACTGACCAGCAAAAGAAACGCAAATCAAGAAATCAAAACAATTGTGTTAAAGTATCAAATCCGTTTTTATGCTGAAAAAGTATAATTTTCATGAATTCTGAGTTGCGTTCTTATTGCTGATCAGTATATTCAATGGACTGTTAGGGAGGCGTTTCTTTTGATAACAGGATCCTTCGTGAGAAATCTTCTTTACCCAAAGTGACCGTTCAGGACTAAACCTGAACAGACAGGTGGTGACACAACAAAGACACAAACAATAGGCTCAGTAAAGGGCTGGCTAAAAAAATCCATAATCTGCTAATCGTCCACAGGGAACGTGGTACATATTATTAGCCAGACAATTGATGAGTGCGACAACCTAACATAAGACAGAAGGGTATATTGTTGAACAATTTGCACATTTGCACCTTTGTATCAGTTCTGAAGGGCCATTAGCAGCAACTGGCGTCATACTGGTCTGATATTGAGGACAATACAACTTGTCACATTGCTGATTACGTGTCCACGTGCAGCAACCCGAGGAAGAATTATCAGTGATAACAAAGAACGAATTTTTGTCTATTATGGTCCAGAGTCGATAGTTTACAGATCTTCGTGATAAAGGCCTAGTTTTTCTAACTGAGGCAATAAGTGAGTGAGTGAGTGAGTGAGTTGAGTTTTACGCCGCAATCAGCAATATTCCTGCTATATGGCGGCGGTCTGTAAATAATCAAATCTGGACCACACAATCCAGTGATCAAGGGTGGCCGGGTAAGCTGAAGTCATTTTCCTCTCATCTGTGCTGATAGTGATAGTAATGATAGCAATGGGGGTGGTGATGCTGATGATGCTGGCGATTATTTTGTTTGTTGTTTAACGCCGCTCTCAGCAATATTCCAGCTATATGGCGGCGGTCTGTAAATAAACGAGTCGGGACCAGACAATCTAGTGATTAACAGCATGAACATCGATGTACTGGGATTCGATGACATGAGTCAACCAAGTCAGCGAGCCTGACCACCCGATCCCGTTAGTCGCCTCTTACGACACACATGGGTTACTGAAGATCAATTCTAACCCGGATCTTCACGGGTCTGAGGCAATAACGAACAAACAGGCTATCAAACAGGTTATAACCCATGATTGATTTTTGTCGTTGGTTATTCTAAATTTGACTTGACTTACATTGGTGGGGCGGTGGGGTAATCTAGTGGTAAAAGCGTTCTCTTGTCACGTCGAAGATCCAGTTCGATCCCCACATGGGCGGAGTGAAACTAAACTCACTCACTCACTCAGTCTTACCTTGGTCGTACTGAACGTAGTGTCTGGCCTCAGTCGGAGCTGTCGTGTAGCGTTTCATGACGTTGTCGTCCATCACAGCGGAGCCTCGGAACAGGCTGAAACATCCGGGGCTGCACAGGACGCAGCCAATCACATGCTCTGTTGCTTTTTGCAGCCAATGACTAACAGCATACTCAAACTTCTGGTACCACACCATTGGCCCTGGTAACAAACACAGTAATATACAACAAGATGGTTCGTTATTAATGGCTTTTGTCGTTTAAATTATTCTTTTGACAACACTGGATTGTCTGGCCCAGACAGACCATCGCCATATAGCTGTAATATTGCTGAGTGAGGCGTTGAACAATACATAAACTAATACACAAAAACATACGTTACGTTGGTTGGCTTGTCGTTTAACGCCGCACCCAGCAATATTCCAGCTATATGGTGGCGTTCTGTAAATAATATAATCTGAAAAAGACAGTCCAGTGATCAACAGCACGAGCTCCGATCTCCGCAGTTGGAAAACGATGACATGTGTCAGCCAAATCATCAAGTCTGACCACTCGATCCCGTTAGTCACCTTTTACGAACTTAGGTAAGGAAAAGATACATAGTCATCAGATTTGCCAAAGACGATTCCGACGACACGAGCATGTGTTTATGAATATCATAATACTACTGATGTCAGACATTCACGAACAGGTGAGAATTAACTTTCCCACTGGCATATGTCTCACATACAGGCAAAGGAAATCAAGCATTCACGGCATTACTGAAGAACACTTTTTGGTTCAAACCTTTAATAAAATTTGTTTGCATCACATTTGTTGAAATTTCCTTTGAACGCTTACTCATGACAGTGAAACCCTGTGAATCTGAATGCTTTTGTCATCAGTGCATTTGTTCGTATTAACTCATATCCGAATTACTGACTGACTGAGTTTAGTTTTACGCCGCTTTCAGCAATATTACAGCAATATCACGGCGGGGGACACCAGAAATGGGCTTAACACATTGTGCCCATGTGGGGAATCGAACCCGGGTCTTCGGCGTGACGAGCCAACGCTTTAACCACTAGGCTACCCCACCAACCCTCCGAATTACAAGACCATGTGCATGCCGCTATTAATGCTAAGATTGTCTTCTTTTAGTCGTTCAGATAAACAGGGCTCCCGAATACAACATGCACAGTAACTGTTTTGTGAAGTGACGGAGGTGTGTGTGAGCAATAAATGGTTACACAATGTCAAACGGAATCATTCCAGAGTCCAGAAAAGAATATGTCCCAATATCTTAGGACGGTGTTTGGGATTGGACGGTCACGTCAATACCTATAAGACCTGCCAATTTCAGGGTAAATAGGCATTATATCAATTATAGATCTGAAATAGAAGAGGGATATGTTTAATTGCCTGTTATCACTCGTAATGTCCAGTTTTGTAGGGATTGCGGTTTAGAAGATCATCGTGTGTGCATGTTTGTCGTAAAAGTCAGTCTAAATGGGGATCGGGTGGTCGAGTTGCTCACGCTTTCAGTCACTGATCCTGATCGATCATTAACACGCTGCCGTGATATACATAATGTGTACTTCTATAACGCTAAATTCCATACACCAAGTGCATGCTCGAAGCGCATACACACATAGTGTTCATACACTGAACGATATGATAGAATGATGCCGACTTCAGCAAAAAATTACTTTGTTAAAAAATGTATCTCCTTATGTACAAAATATTTTTATAAGATATGCTCTATTGGACATGGATATTCAAATTTCACTGCTTATGTCATGTCTCTGCTCCCCACCTGAGCCAATGGGATGGATTCTTCCACACGCTGCCCCCACGTTCGGGTCCCGCCTCATCCTGTCCACCAACATCCGGAGAGCCTCGGGTTGGAAATCGACGTCACCATCGAGAGCCAATAGGAACGTGCTGTCAGCTCGTACGCGCTTCCGGTTGATGTCGATTTGCTCAGACATGAGCTGATTGGCCAGAAAGTAATATAGGTACATCACCTGCAAGGATGGCCGGGTAAGTTGAAGTCATGTTCCTCTCAACTGTGCTGATAGTGATAATAATGAGTGAGAGAGTGAGTGAGTGAGTGAGTGAGTTATTATTTAGCGTCACATTGGCAATAGATAATAATGAGGATAATAATGATGATTGATGATGATGATGATGATGATGATGATGATGATGATGGTCATTATTTTGTTTATTGTTGAACACCGCTCTCCGAAATACTCCAGCAATATGGCGGAGGTCTGTAAATAATCGAGTCTGGTCCAGACAATCCAGTGATTAACAGCATGAGCATCGATCTACTGGGATACAATGACACGTGTCAACCAAATCAGCGAGCCTGACCACCCGATCCCGTTAGTCGCCCCTTACGACAAGCATGGATTGCTGATGACCAATTCTAACCCGGATCTCAGTCTCACAAGACATTATTTGGCCAGAGGTGTTCACATATTCAAAAACTGATCAAATATTAAAACACAGATCAATACCTCTTGCGCAGCCATGTTTACACAGCAGGTACTACCAGTATTCATTTGGTTCCACATTATGTATTTTACACATCTTGCATGGTCATTTGTAATGTTTTCCTCAACATAACATGCATAGTGAAAGGTAAAAGTTTTCCGATCTCTTAATATAGGCTCATCTCTTGGGCCACAAAGGGTTTCTAATGTATTGTCCTTTAATCATAAATGAAACCCTAATCACATAGTTTTACTATATCAAAGTAGAAATATTTTGAAATGGAATATAAAAACAAACAGATGGGGGGATGCATGAAGTACAAGGGAAAGGTACAGCACAACGCGACAGTGAATTTACATCACAACTCAGGAAACTCTAAGTCATATTTTTCTTTTAACTCGATTGTTTATTAGAAACATTTGTTTAATCATCACTGACGTTTTAATTTAGTATAGGAAGGAATGTTTGCTACCAGTTAATGCAACTCTGTTGCAAGCAGTTGGAAAAACGGTACACTCAGCATTGCATACGCGTGGCTGTTAAAAACACGATACTTTGCCCCACTGAATAAACATTTGGATTATCGAGACTGATCGGACAACTCTTCATTTTGCTTATCAAACACTTGAACAGATTTGTGTTCATTCATGTACATACTTGTGACTGAAATGTGTTGAAAACGCCCACTTGATAGGCCTACCTGACTTATATTTGCAAAATCCTTGACCTACCTCTGCCCTGCGTTTGACAACTCTGACCCTACCACCGTCGTGTCTCATCCGGTCTCGTGTCTAGTGCCTCACTCGCGACATGTGTGTCCCGCGCCTCTACATGCCTGACCATGAACTGTGTAACTCTACCTGGCCCTACCACTGTCGTGTCTCATCCGATCTCGTGTCTAATGCCTCACTCGCGACATGTGTGTCCCGCCTCAACATGCCTCTACATGCCTGACCATGAACTGTCTAACTCTACCTGGCCCTACCTACCTTTCCTGACCCAGCTGGCCTCACGACATGTCTGACCCTACCTCTCTACTGACTTTCCTGACCAAAAGTCTCCGTACCTCTCGACATGTCTGATCCTACCTCTGTCGAACCCTCGACGTTCCTGACCCCGAACTGTCTACTCTTGGAAAACCTGACCCTACCTCTCTGGAGGTATTACTGACTTTCCTGACCCCAAGTCTGCCGAACTCTCGACATGTCTGACACTACCTCTCTACTGACTTTCCTGACCCCAAGTCTGCGTAACTCGCGACATGTCTGCCCTACCTCTCTACTGCCTTTCCTGACCAAAACTCTGCGTAACTCTCGACATGTCTGACCCTACCTCTGTCGAACCCTCGACGTTCCTGACCCCGAACTGTCTACTCTTGGAAAACCTGACCCTACCTCTCTGGAGGTATTACTGACTTTCCTGACCCCAAGTCTGCCGAACTCTCGACATGTCTCACCCTACTTCTCCGGAACTACTGACTTTCCTGACCCCAAGTATGCCTAACTCTCGACATGTCTCACCCCATCTCTACCAAACCATCGACGTTCCCGACCCCAAACTTTCTATCTCTTTACTAACTTTCCTGACCCCAAGTCTGCCTCTATGGTCCTACCTCTGCCGATCCCTTTGCGTGATGCAGCTCTCTGCCTAGGTCACATTTCTACCCGTGTTGAGGTCTTTCCCTACCTGACTCCATCTCTTTCTGTGCCGTATCTTCATCTTGTCCTTCAGATGCGCCGTCAGCGTGTTGCCCCCTTGAAGCGTCCACACCAACCGGCCTCCATACGGAGTCTCAGTACGTGTTGGAGGCGGAATAGTGTGTGGTGTGTTATACTCGTCTCTGTGTGGAACATAGTGAGTGAGTTTAGTTTTACGCCGCTTTTAGCAATATTGCAGCAATATCACGGCGGCGGACACCAGAAATGGGCTTCACATGTCGGCATGACGAGCCAACACTCCAATAGGCTACCCCACCGCCGCGCATGGAACATAGAACGCTGTTTCTAAAATTCAGCATTTAAAACCTGAAAGACAGATGCCAGTTCGGACTACTAAAACGATGATGAGACTGAAATACTCTCCAAAGAGGTGTCAGCATATTCATCACTCTCACTTTCTTACGCAACTTACTAACAAAATGTGAAAATCTTTATTGGACTAAAAATATTTCTTTATTTCTGGGACCGGTTCCAGGCTGACATATGTCATCGTGTCGGAACTGCGTAGAGGGCTAGTCATGCTGTTGATCCAGTCAACAGATTGTCCAGTCCAGACTCAATTATTAACAGACCGCCGCCATACAGCTGGAATATTGCTGAGTGCGGCGTAAAAAAACCAACAAAGCAAAGCATACACGCGGCTATATAAGTGCGATAATTATTAAAACGATCTTAATCCCTATTTCACCTATTTCATCAATAAGAATGATTATTATTTTATTCACGAGGATGCAACACGTTTGTTCTGACCAACGTCAGTGACGTACCTTAGGGCGACGTTAATCACCCGCAGGAGCTGCTTCACCCAGTCGTTGACGTCGTAATCCAAGTCGCCATCTTTGTGAGGCTGAAAGGCGTCGTCGAAGAAGATGTGAGCTGAAACAGACAAGCGTAACAATCAACAGACCAGCGGTAAAATGTTTGATGTTTATACACTGGGGACGTTGCGTGATACTATTGGTAAGACAACTAGTTGGAAGACTCCTTACTTCAAATTCGTAATCTATGTCGAATATTCCTTACCTTCAAACTCGTAGTAATCCACATCCGTCTCAAATGTTTTGATGGCTTTTCGCCTGGCGCTCTGATCCTCATCCAATCTGGGGGGGAAATATATTTAAAATATTGAAACATAGATCACCAAAGTTCTGTTATGAAAATGTATTTAGACACAGTGGTTTGGGGTTATGCGTTCCCACAATGACAACTGAACATGAATATTCATACAAATGTGCAGTACAATGTTGGTTCTATCGTGAACGTGTTTGGCAGGTCATCAGAGCATGTCAACTTGCTCTATTCATTGTTGCATTTAAAAGGGTTAATATGTCGCGTCGTACGTGTGTAATTCGATACACGTGAACATCAAAGTCTTGGTCGTATTCATACAGGTGAGGTGAGGTGAGGTGAGGTGAGGTGAGGTGAGGTGAGGTGAGGTGAGGTGAGGTGAGGTGAGGTGAGGTGAGGTGATGAGGTGAAATTGGGTTTTACATCGTGCTTGAGAATATTTCGCTCAGATGACGACGTGCATGCGTGTGTATGTGTATGTGCGCTGCTTGTACTAGCCCAGACTGAAGCTGGTTTTATAGTGCTAGCCCACTGAGATACCATGCCGCAGTGAAGCATGAATACACCACTCAGACACATTATACTGACTCCGAGCCGACCAGTCCTTGTTGTACCCATTAATGCCGAGCGCCAGGCAGGGACCAACAAGTACCATATTTTAACGTCTTTCGGTATGACGCGGTCGGGGATCGAACCTGCGATCTTCCGCTCTCCGGGCGGACGCTCTAACCACTACACCACGGAGGCGGTCCGTATTCATACAATAATAACAATGCTGATGAGCATTTATAAAGCGCTGTATCCATCCACAAGGTGCTTGCTCAAAGCGCATAAAATGTGAGAAAAGGTAAACGAAATGAAATAATAATATGAAATAAAACCTATAAATAATAGCCTGAAATAAGGACTATAAATAATAGCAGGAGATAAAGTCTATGAATTAATGACAATGCATAATAGCGTGAAATAAATTATACGAATAATTGCCGGAAAATAGGTGCGTCTTGAGTTTTGACTTGAATACAGTTAATGATGATGAAGATTTGATGTCCAGAGAAGTTTGTTCCATAGTTGAGGAGCTGCGTGACTTTAGAATTTCTGTCCATAGCTGGTCAGATTATACATACTATATGCTGTATAAAACATTGTCTCATTTTTGTATCCAGATACAGATCGAAGTATCTTATTTGTATACATTGATACAGCTGCAGACATTCTCACCGATACACAGATCTCAGCATCTGAATCATCTCGTTCTCCGATTCATGCCACATGGTAGCACACACATAGATCATAGGGGTGTCGTCCTTCCTCATGCTGGTGGTGTCCCTCAAGTCAAAGACGTCACCGTCGCCGAGGTGAGGAACGTTGACTCGTGATGCATTTTTCTCCTGAAATTGTCACGCATCATCAACGTATTAGCTAAAAGTATTTGTCCCTTTGGCAAAAGTATTACCAGCAGTTTGTGCAACAGCAAACGCTACCTGAAGTAAAGTAACATGAGTTTATCTCAGGGAGTGCATACAGGTGTCAGTGTAATATTAGACCTCAGATTGTGTCGCAATAATGTGAAGCCCATAATGTGACGAGTTCGAATCCCAACTGAGTTCTGGTATGGTGCGTGTGTGTAACCTGCGTGCTCAGTCTGTCAGTCGATCATACAGCCCTGAAACAAATATATCCATGAAAGCCCATGGAAGTCTAGAATATATGGCACATCTAGATTGCCACAATCCTTGGGCTCCTTTTCATATATTTTATGACTATGATTTATGAACTGTTATTTCAGTAAAATAGGGGCGGTGGGGTAGCCTAGTGGTTAAAGCGTTGGCTCGTCACGCCGAAGACCTGGATCCCCACATGGATTCAATGTGTGAAACCCATTTCTGGTGTCCCCCGCCGTGATGTTGCTGGAATATTGCTAAAAGCGGCGTAAAACCAAACTCAGTCAGTCTGTCAGTCAGTAAAATATGTTCATTTCAGTGACTAGATGTTACATGTTCATAATAATCTGACATATCTGCTTCAGTGTGTTCTATTTGCTAACAGAAAGCCAAAAGAGGTTACTATTTAAGGTAATTATTTAGAGGTGAGACAATATCGATAATACTCCTAATGTGGGAGAGGTGGAGTAGCACAGTTGTCGAAGTGTTTGCTTGTCACACCGAAAACCTAGGTTCAATTTTCCACTTCAGTAAATGCTTGAAACTCATTTCTGGTCCCCTGCCATCCCTTGAGATGTTGCTGTAATATCGCTAAAAAGAACCCAAATCCTACAAAATATCATACATATTCATTGACTATCACCGCCTCTAATACACTATCACGTGTACACCTTTGCTCAGGATATCACTCACTGGTTCATTTTGCTGTTTAACCGTGAAGGTCCGGGTTAGAATATTGATCTTCAGTAACCCATGCTTGTCGTAAGAGGCGACTAACGGGATCGGGTGGTCAGGCTCACTGGCTTGGTTGACACATGTCATCGGTTCCCAATTGCGCAGATTAATGCTCATGCTGTTGATCATTGGATTGTCTGGTCCAGACTCGATTATTTACAGACCGCCGCCATATAGCTCGAATATTGCTGAGCGCGGCGTAAAATCCACTCACTCACTCATTTTGCTGTCAAGGATTTCGTATATCATTGACAAGGCAAAACAACTGATTTCTGATTTCAATCTAAGCAGACAGATAATAGGACATGGTAGGTCGTTTTTCTTTACTCAAATCATGTTTTTCTCGATAACTTGATCAAATTCAGTGGTGGGTTCCCGTTTTGCCGGACTCTTTTGTTCGGAATAATAAATCACTGATGCGCGATAATCTCTACAACAATAGGTTTCGATCTAACAAACGGCAAGGTGGGGGATGACCAATACAGTTAGGTAACACGAGTAAACGTACCGCGTCTTTGATTGGCATTCTAGAAGGTGAGGAGACGAAGAATGAGCAAAATTTTTATGGATAAAGAAGTTGTATATCATTCAACACGAGTGAAGTTGATGGTTGGGACCTCCAGATTGTCTCATGGCAAATATAGTTTTTTTCGTTAGGGTTAAGACAACACACCTTCACATAAATTAAGCACATGTTCATAAGTCAGACGGGTCAAGAAACTTTGAAATGGTTACATAAGCCTATTGTTGTATATTATCCGACTCCACAGTAATTCAGACTATACTAAACAAACAAGTCACACCGAGCTGGGGCACATAAATATTCTGTTACACTTTATTAGCTGAAGTCAGCAAGGTAAATATATGACTCTTGGGGACCTTCAAGGAGCTCCTGTTGGCAGGACAAGTACTGGACTTTGTTTATGGCTAACCCGGCTTTACATTTTATTACGTTCACGATAATAAAGCAACTCTGTGTATACGGTTAGAAATTTAGGTATTTGGCTTTAGCCACGGAATCGACTAAAGTTGTGTTGAATTTCTCGTAAAATAACATTCAATCTATTTGACATATTTCAACCATATGAATCGTCAATCCTTGTCAATCCGCCAGGACGGCGGGGTAGTCTAGTGGTTAAAGCGTTCGCTCTTTACGCCATTCCTACATTGGTACAATGTGTGAAGCCCATTTCTGGTGTCCCCCGCTGTGATATTGCTGGAATGTTGCTAAAAGCAGCGTAAGCGCAACTCACCAATTCAATCCTAAGTCAAATGATAGATATATTACTCATTTTTGACGAGAACACTCCAACACATACAGACGGGTGGTACATAGCTGAAACTACAATGACTCGCTCTCAATATAGATATGATGTTTCCAGGCCACTCTTTTCAATGAATTCAACCCAAGCCGCAACATTTACGTCCTGACTTAATACAGGAGACAGTGAGTATAGTTTTACGCCACTTTTAGCAATATTGCAGCAACATCACGAGAAATCGGCTTCTTACATTGTACCCATATATGGAATCGAACCAGGGTCTTCAGTGTGACGAGCGAACTCTTTAACCACTAGGCTACCCCACCGTCCCTCTTCATACAGGGGTTAACATTAGAACGATTGTGTGAAAGGGAAAGTGTATTGCTAGTCTGCTGCGTGAAACTAGGTCACTCATGAACAAAGCATATCCAAGGAATATGCAGTTAACCGGTAAATGGAATTTGTGGAACTGAAAAGTTTTTCAAGTGGATAAAGGCTTTGAAGATCGTTAACCCGTCTCGTGACTGCAACACACTGAGCAATTCAATCAGACCTACTGGGACGACTCTATGAAATGAAACACACCACTGTGGGCAGGACAAGGACGCGTTGTGCATAAAACATCCGGGTAGTCCACGCACGTTAACCCTTAAGAAACACCTACACCCACATACTCTATCAGCCCAGGCTTAATATACATACTGAGCCTATCCCGACAGGTATAGGTCCGACTCTCAGGCCGGAAGACATACAAAATCAAGCCCCTAAATTTTCACCACACCCTTGTGACCGTAGAAAACAAATTGAGTTATAACTTGATCCTCCCATATGACTCCACCAACCCTAGATATCAAACGTCAACTTTCTAACTATAGAAGACATACTGCGTCTACACAAACACTCTACCTCCCAACTCATCAATACATTTTGTCTACCCCGATCCATATCCCTTCACATACACCCCGCCCTCAAAACGCTTGAAGACATATTGCATCTACTCTTACTAAAATACTCTATCTGCCAACCCAACAAAACATTATGTCTACCCCCATCCAAATGTCCTCAAATACACCCCGTGTACCAAACACTAGAAGACATATTGCACCTACTCTGAAACAAACACTCTACCTCTCTACCTAGAAATACATTCGTCATACCCCGATCCATAACCCCGATCCATAACCCCTCACGTACACCCCTCACTAATAACACAAGAGGACATATTGCGTCTACTCTGGCACAAACACTCCACCTACCAACCCAACAATACATTCTGTCTACCCCCATCCATATCTCTACTCTTACTAAAATACTCTATCTGTCAATCTGCGTCTACCAAACGCTAGAAGACATATTGCACCTACTCTGAAAGAAACACTTTACCGACCAACCCAACAAAACATTCTGTCTACCCCCATCCAAATGTCCTCAAATACACCCTGCCCTCAAAACACTAAAAGACATATTGCACCTACTCTGAAACAAACACTCTACCTCTCTACCCAGAAATACATTCGTCATACCCCGATCCATAACCCCGATCCATAACCCCGATCGTACACCCCTCACTAATAACACAAGAGGACATATTGCCTCTACTCTGACACAAACACTCCACCTACCAACCCAACAATACATTCTGTCTACTCCCATCCATATCCTTTAACATACACCTCGCCCTACAAACCCTGGAAGACACATTACAAACACTCTACCTCCCATGTCAGTGTCTTCCGCCACCCCTACCCTAACACATACACTTCACCCTCCTAACACGAAAAAACACACCGAGGGTCTCGCATTCCCTACGACACACTGCGTCATTGACAACGATATCGTCAGATGAGTCGGTTTGTTTTTACACCTTTCTTTGCAAGGTTCCTGTAACAGCATTTGGGGTTAACATTCAAACCCTGGCCTTCGATATCAAGGGCCGCATTCAGCAATATTCCAGCTACATGACGGCGGTCTGTACATAATTGAGCCTGGACCAGACAATCCAGTGATCAACAGCATGAATATCGATCTACGCAATTGGGATACGATGATATTTACCAAATCAGCGAGCCTGACCGCCCGATCCCGTTAGTTGCCTCTTACAACATGAATGGGTTACTGATGACCCATTCTAACCCGATTCTTCACGGGTCTCATAAAACATTATCATTGATAGCAATACTTAACTCTCATCATCAAAAATGATCATTGATGGCAAAACTTAACTCTTATTATCAAGAATGATCATTGATGGCAAAACTTAACTCTCATTATCAAGAATGATCATTGATGGCAAAACTTAACTCTCATCATCAAGAATGATCATTGATGGCAAAACTTAACTCTCACTATCAAGAATGATCATTGATGGCAATACTTCACTCTCTCATTGATGTCGATATTACAGCAATACTTCATCATCATCAAGAATGATCATTGATTGCGATATTATTACATGATCTCATTGATCATTATTATCAAGAATGATCATTGATGGCGATGATCTTCAATGCTCACTCATCATCAAGAATGATCATTGATGGCAAGAATGATTGATTACACTCTCATGATCAAGAATGATCATTGATGTCGATATTACTCTCTTCATCAAGAATGATCATTGATGGCATACTTCACTCTCATCATCAAGAATGATCATTGATGGCAATGATCATGGATAGCAATACTCCTCATCATCAAGAATGATCATTGATGGCACTCTCATCATCAAGAATGATCATTGATGGCGATATTTCACTCTCATATCAAGAATGATCATTGATGGCGATAACACTCTCATCATCAAGAATGATCAATCTCACTCTCATCATCAAGAATGATCATTGATGGCAATACTTTACTCTCATCATCAAGAATGATCATTGATGGCGATATTACACTCTCATCATCAAGAATGATCATTGATGGCGATATTTACTCTCATCATCAAGAATGATCATTGATGGCAATGACACTCATCATGATGATCATTGATGGCAATACTTTACTTCATCATCTGATCATCATCATTATCAAGAATGATCATTGATGGCGATATTACACTCTCATCATCAAGAATGATCATTGATGGCGATATTACACTCTCATCATCAAGAATGATCATTGATGGCAATACTTCACTCCCATCATCAAGAATGATCATTGATGGCAATACTACACTCTCATCATCAAGAATGATCATTGATGGCGATATTACACTCTCATCATCAAGAATGATCATTGATGGCAATACGTCACGTACCTTCGTTTCTATGTGGGCTTCCTTCACCCGCTTCCGGTTCAGTATCAGCGACTGGTCAAGCAGTATTCCACAGTACAGGGGCTTGGCAAATAGCCTGTAACATTCGTAGCTGGTTTATGACTTGGAATACCATGGGATTCATATCAACGCATGCAAACAGCTTTATATAAGTGAAAAATACAAAGTGTTGGGCGTAAAATACATTTTGAAAAATTCTCGCGCCTTTTAATTTCACTGACAAATCAGCGAGTCTGAGATTCGAACCAATGACATTGGATCCGAGTGCAACTAAATGATTCCAATTTCAACATTAAACTGTGTTGCCCTACCGACCTGTCTGGATCCACTCTGTCCGTTATTTTTAACAGATTTCTTGTATGGTATATGAAAGAAGACATCACTTTGTAACACTTATGAATATGAAAGATGCAAGTGTCGCCATATTCCACTGTAGCCTACTTATGCAGACATGATATATATCAGCAACAGCAACAGTAATTATGTAAGTTGCTGTTGGTAGTATATATCGGTTGAATGGGGACTTCTTTTCGAATATAATATTTTAATGAACCCTTATGTATCAGAGCTTGTGCTAGAGAAACGTCTCATGATTGCATCTTCAGTAAATATGCATGCACGTAAATATGAGTAGTGTCTTTCCAAGCAAGATCGTCCAGAAAGCGGGAATAACGAACAAACTGGTTATTGACTATTAGTATCGAGATTTTATCATATACTAAGCACAATGTGTGAAGCCCATTTCTGGTGTCCCCCGCCGTGATACTGCTAGAATATTGCTAAAAGCGGCGTAAAACTAAACTCACTCACTCACTCACTCATATATTAAGGAATATCAGTTTACCTACCTGTGCGTCCTGGCCAGTCTCTCGTTGCTCGGGTGCCAGATATGATCAACAATGCAGAATAAGGTTATGTATCCAAATACGCCGATCGGAATCCAGTAATCCACGGTAAACTGTAGCAAAAAGTCTGAGAACTCTGGAATTGGTTCCACCCATTCGAAGCTGCAGCCCAGGAACTGCCCATTAACATTACTGACGGAGTAGGAAAGCAGAATTAGACCAAACGTAACAGGCGTCGACAGCAGCATCGGGATTGAAAAACAGGGGATCTGAGCACGCACCTTGCAGCAGGCTTTTGACATACCGTAGCACACCGCGCTGCACAATATGCACACTGCAGCTACCAGAAACGGGAGTTCTGCAGAACAGGAAGATGTTACATGTCTAACATCTTCAAGTGTCATCGTCCCATATAAGGAACATCCTGTAGCGTCCGTCTTTGTAAGGAAAAACGTTTTGACACAGTCATCGCCACCAGGGGCAAAATTACAGCGGGGACAACGAGAGTAGTTATTATTTTAATGACGGAGGTAATTAAATCAATCTTCACCCTCTGCTCACGGATACGACGTCGTATTCCAGCCAAACCTTTGACTCCACTCACGTAGTTCTCCCACCACGTGACCGATATCAGAACGAGGCTGACAGGAAGTAGAATTGCGTTTGTGATGTTGTCTTGTTGGGTATATGTTCTCAGTGCCCAGAGGGCAATAGTCGCTATGTGTACAACTGCCAGCACGAAATTCAAAATTCCTCTCACGACCTTCATTGATGTTGATTGTGTGGAGTCATTTCCGCCGCTGTCAGCATCGTTATTCTGTTCCTTGCTTTCAAATATTCTGAAGATCGCAGGAATGACAGCTACGCTGAGCGTCACAAAAAAGCCAAGCAACGGGTCAACATTTGGAAGGACGAGGAAGACAAAGATGCAGAGGCCGATGGAGTGACTGATCTCGACGAGACTTGCCTGGAGACAGACAGAAGTCATTGGTACTAGGTATAATTGTAAGAAAACAAACGGCATTGCCATTGCAATACATGACTAATCTGTGTGGTTGTGGTCTTCAAAATGAGCTTAAATTTACAATTTGATTAACGCCTCACTTCGCACTATTCCAGCTATATAGTGGCGGTCTGTAAATACTCGAGTCCCGACCAGACAATCCAGTGATCAACATCATGAACATCGATCTACGCAACTGGGATACGATTACATGTGTCAATCCAGTCAACGAGCCTGACCACCCGATCCCGTTAGTGGCCTTTTACGACACGCATGGGTTGCTGAAGACCAATTCTAACCCGGATATTCACGGGTACTATGAGATATGATTGCCGAGTAAGTATGTATTCAAATATTACTCACTACAATGATAGGTAGAACTTGCACCGATCGGTTCTTCTTTGTGATCATCTTCCACGTGCACGACATCGCCCTGAATACGTAGGGGGCCCACATGACGAGAATAAGTGACCACACCCATTTCATGTCCACAGTCAGGTCCTTTGGTTTCAACAGGAACCGTGCCCTGTTGTCCCCATCTTTAGCCGTATTGTTGTGGATTTGATCTTTGCCAAGTTCAAAATGTTCATGGATGGGTAGATGGTACGTCATATAGAAAATGCAAAGCTTGGACATCACGGACGAACCGAGAATAAGACCAATGAAAACGATGTATGTAAACAGTTTGACGATGGCGTTGATGGTCTTCCATATTTCGTATTCCGAGGAAGTTGACAGGCTCGTCTTGGCATCTTCTTGGAATATGTCCCATGGCTTTGATTTCTCTCTGAAAATAATTGAAATGAGGATCCATCCTTTTTTATGTATCTTGCCTGTAATGCAAATATTACGAAAACCCTCTTCATGACTGAGTATTCATTTACCCTAAGTTATTTTTGGATGTGATTTTAGACTTAATGCTGCTTTGACCAGCATGCTCGTATCATAATGGCGTTCCAGATTGATGTCGGAGTGACATGGGTGTTAGAAGTTGATCTACTTTTGTGAAACTAAGGAGCATGGGTCACGTGAGCACAGACCAAAGTTTCAAATCGGTGAATCTTGCAGCGAATTGTAAAAATTCTTCAGCTTTTCTTACGTATTCGACTTTTTAATTCATAAATTGAATGTATTTACATGTTTATTTTACAACATTTGGTCATTACTCATTAACCACGCATGTAATGCAGTATAAAGTATATTTCCATCAGTCCCTACATCCGAACGTGACTATGAGTAGAAGCTTATTATAGCAAGCAAAGCTAAGCTAGTTATACATGTAAGCTTGTAACTTCAGCTAAGCGTGGATAAGTGAAGGGAAGTTAAGCTAACCTAACCAAACCAAACCGATCCTTTTCTTACCTTACCATACCTTAGATTAGTTAAGCTCAGCCTACCTTACCTTACCTTAGCTTAATACAATTTATCTTAGCTAACCTCAGCTTAGCTTACATTGCTTTACCATACCTTACCACGCCTTCGTACAAAGCTGGGGCGGTGGGGTAGCCTAGTGGTTAAAGCGTTGGCTCGTCACGCCGAAGACCCTGGTTCGATTCCCCACATGGGCACAATGTGTTAAGCCCATTTCTGGTGTCCCCCGCCGTGATATTGCTGGAATATTGCTAAAAGCGGCGTAAAACCAAACTCAGTCAGTCAGTCAGTTCGTACAAAGCTTGGCTAACCTAAGCCTACCTAAGCTAAGCTAACCTAACCTAAATTTACCTACCCTAAAGTTACCTAACCTAAACTTACCTAACCAAACATAATCTAATCTAATATGATATAATGTACCCTATTCTAATCAGCAAATGCATTGTGCTGTGCCAGTACGTGAACTACGTCAAGCGCTTCAAGGGTTAGTTGGGTCATGCCAGCAACACCTCCATCTCAACTACGACAGCCATGAATTACTTACATGGGGGAGGTCCTACGACCGCCGTGAGCGTTATTATCATACGATGAAACCCTGTTGACGGTGTCAGCTTCCTCGCTTACATACCCTGGATTGTCTGTCCCTGTTGCCATGGTAACGGATGTGATGTATCATCAGGTATCACTCTGAAGTTTCCCTTGGGTATCCCAGCACAGGTGGCGTCGGGTACCTAATAAACCCAAATACACAAACAAACGTGAACATTAAACAAAACGAAATGCATAAATGACTCACATATAAATTATTCAGCTATTGTTGACTCAAAGACACTAATCAATACAGCAGTACACAAAGACAATAGAAACTGTCTCCCTGCTTATTGTCGAGCGATGGCCCAGAACATCGTCCAACAGTCAACAGACTGTCCACTCCGAGACACGACAACCACTTGCTTTATCTGATCATGCTCGGGGTAGGTCCACCCTCAAATAACATATACCCATGGATACCGTTGTACTCGGGGCAGAGGCAGCCGTCTGCCTGTTCCAATTAAACGGCTATTGTATCCCACGGACAGCTCCCGCTTGCACTCGGGACAGACGCAGCTGGTAAGGCTGTTCCAAATATACGACCCTTGTCTAGCACGGACACCGTCCGACTGTACCCGGAATAGACGCGGCCGTCCGGCTGTTCCAAATAAATGACTTTTGTCTCCCTCGGACAGCGCCCGATTCTACCCGGGACAGATGCAGCCTTCCGGCTGTTCCAAATAAATGACTATTGTCTCCCACGTACAGCGCCCGATTGTACCCGGGACAGTCGCAGCCGGAAAGGTTGTTCCAAATAACTGACCCTTGTCTCCCAGGAACACCGCCCGAATGTACCCGGATAGGCGCGGCCGGTAAGGCTATTCCAAATAACCGACTCTCTATCAGTAGTGAGCTTTTCCAAGAACTGACACCCACTGAAACAGACACCTGATAAAGAGGAGTAGGTCCATAGTACTCCTGACTGCAGGATGAATGTTGTGTTATCTGAACAAATTAACCGCTCTGATAACCCGGACCTCGCGTTCCATTGCTTGAGCGTGACGAGGTTTTGTTCAGTGTTACTTCACTGACACAATTCATATCAGTTTCGTGAATCCTTTGTGAAGTCGTATCAAATCGACCTTTCTGAACTTTGAAACGAAAGCGGATTTACATACATGAATGATAGACTCTGAATAAATACAAAATGATAGATTTGAATAAAAATACGATGTACTTGATGTAGTAATACAAATATATATGTATTTCACGGTTGTAATGTATGTACGATGTATGTATGTATGTATGTATGTATGTATGAATGTATATGTATGTATGTATGTATGTATGAAATTCAATGCTATATAGCAAGGATATGCCTGTTTGTCAATACGAGTAACATGTGACACACCTCGATGTTGTTAATGTAATGGGAGTTATATACGTGCGATACACAGGGGTGTGTAATGCGGTAAGTGGTGTTCGGTGGGGGTGGGTACAGCAGGTTAGGGTATTGAAGAAGAAGTTTGCATGGAACTAAGTGAACCCGGATTGTCTGTATTAGTTTGATCAGTATGAAGTTGCCCCAAGCCAGAATGTTGACCGATATGGTGCGTCGGGAGTGTTCAGAAAATGCAAGCATGATGTGATCAAGAAGGCGATAATAATAACCAGAAGCCAGAAATGTTTTAGGGTTTTTTTTTATTTATTTATTTATTGGAGATATTTTTACTAAAAAGTGACTTATTCACATTGGAAACCTTATTCGATTGTAAATGGAAATGTTTTATCGGTGGACCTGAGACATAGCGACGTGACTGTCTGTTCATCATGTCTCTGATCATGGGTACCCGGTGGGATTAGTGGATAATGTGAGTGTTTCCCAAGTTGCTGAGAGTAGAAATCGAGTTTCTACTGATGGACCTAGGTACGAGTGTCAAGAGAATGGAGTTCAGCAATCATCATCATCATCATCATCATCATCATCACCATCACCATCCTCATCACCATCGTCGTTGGTGTTTTTAATCCAGACAGGCATTTTGCTAACTGTTCTCTGGGGGTATCCTTAGCAGCATAAAAACTGGAGTCCCGTTATGAAAAACCAGCAATGATCTCCATCAGTGTACTCACCGATATATATAAATTTACTTTTCTATTCCGGGGATGTCTTTTATGTGTCAGGAAAGAAATCTATTTACTCTTGTGAACTGTTTATAGTAAAGGACTTCAGCACATCTCAAATCTTTTCATTCTCAGCCAGGTGAAACGCACTAGGGTATAACTTTCTAAGGATGAAACGCAGTCAGTTGTGACAACGTAATCTGACGCTTGTTGTTAAATCCCAGGTATGTGAATCACGCTTCACTGACCAATAAGGGCGTTACATCTTTCTGACATAGAAATTCTATTTAAGGAAAACCTTAATCTTTATTGTATAATTTGACATTGTCATTATGGAGATGCTTGCTCAAGTGGATCTGTTCCCAAGTATTAGCTTCATGGTGGTAAGGTGTAAGTCAAGGTGATGCTGTATTTCCCTCTGTTTCTTTGTTGCTGTTTTCTTCCCCGTTCTCACAAGTCCCTCTATATTTGAGTTGCAATAGTGGGTATGTTTCTCGACTGAAGACAGGACACAATAATTCTCACACTCTAAGTCATCCCTTTCACATTTAAAACTGCCTGAAACCGGAAAAGCGAATTTACTTGGAACTAGCTGGTGAGGAAAGCCCGGGGCAGTGGGGTCTGGCGTGGGGTGTTGGTGGGGGGCTGGAGATCTGTACTAGACGGCCTATGCCCCACGAGGGTTTTCAGACCTAAGTAAGTAAGTAGTAAGTATAAAGGGACACATGTTTGGACAATTTTAGTGTCAGGAAAGCTCAACAAAGAGCTATTACAGTGAGTGAGTGAGTTTGGTTTTACGCCACTTTTGGCAATATTCAAGCAATATCACGGCAGGGGAAACCAGAAATGGGCTTCACACATTACACCCATATTGGAAATCGAACCCGAGACTTCGGAGTAACGAGCGACCGTTTAACAACTGGATTACCAAGCCGCCCCTACAAAAGCTATTACTAAGCTGTGGTCACAACTCTCCCCTTCACCTGTATCCCATCTTGTGGACTCTCAGATTGCCGGGTGTATCAAGTGTCGGTGAGACACAAGACCCTCGTCCATCCGTGTCCATCTGTCCCTTGATATAGTCCAAGCTTTAAGACAGCTCATTAAATATATTTACTCCGGAATCTCGGCCTACACACACACACAAAGAGGTGAGCAAACATCTCGGGCTAGGTTAGCCTAGATATTAGGCTTCATGGCCCTACACAGCCATCAATCAACGTGGCATATATTGTTTCCGCCACTTTAGTTGGTATCTACAAACACATTTGAAACTTGATATTGTTTTCCTCCTCAAGTGACCCTTTATTATATGTTAGGTCATTCAATAAATTTATTCTCTCTCCAAGAACAGACATACTTGATTTCGATGTATTGTGTTTAATATTTAGGAATGAATTACAGTCAAATCCGATGAGTCGAATGCCGGTGTCTCGAATATTATGCATAACTCGAAGTACCTGTCGGTCCCGACCATTCCCTGTTATAGTTGTCATCATTTGAATACCGGTTACACGAATTCGACTCATAAATACACACGATGACTCGAGAAGAAAATTTGTCCCATGAGATTCAAACAACAGCAATTTTGTATACATAAGCCGAAGTCAGTCAATGAGAAGTTGATTGGTGTAGCAAACTGATCCAATTAACAAACCAGCGAGGTTCACACCTTTCCGCCTTTGACGGGTGAGTTCAAAAGGCAGATTAGTGATTTTACGGAAATCACTGTCTGTGCTAATCAGACTGGAACTGATAAGGTGCCCCTATTAGTGATAGGGAAATCATTAGATAAACAAATGCTTAGGCGGAGGAATTAGGACTGGATCACCTTTTTTTCTACCCTCATAGCCTACCTATGTCTCGAATACATCGATAAGTCGAATTTATTACTTGGTCCCCAGAGATTCGACTCATCGGGATTTGACTTTTAACGTTATGGACGTAACGTACAATCGTGTGTGTACACTGTTTAATGTTGCGCAGGAAATGTATAATAAAGTACAGCCCCTCTCCCACCCCCTTCCTCAACATCCCCTACTCTACTATCGGCCAATCAGGAAACACCATTCCAGTAGCTGCGATGACTTAATTAAATTTTGTTCGACTTATGATTCATAAATGCGTTAAAAACCTCTTTTGCCTATGAAATGCCATGGAATCGCTTAAAATATGTATTCATCCAAGCTAAACCAGTGTGCCTTTGTCAGTCAGTCAGGTATTCTTGTCTTGAATGGGGCGGTGGAGTAGCCCAGTGGTTAAGGCTTTCGCTCGTCACGCCGAAGACCCGGGTTCGATTCCCACATGGGCAAATTGTGTCAAGTCCATTTCTGGTGTCCCCCGCCGTGATATTGCTGGAATATGGTTAAAAGCGGCGTAAAACTAAACTCATTCACTCACTTGTCACGTATGTCACGTCACGTATCATTTTACTAATAATGTGTACGCAATATTTTACATACATGACGTGCAGTAAGATTGTAATAACTGTCGATCGGGTGGTCAAAATGGGAGCTGGGTATGATTTACGGGTTCGGATAGAGACTCATACTTGTTTAAGTGCATGTCACCTTACCAGCAACATGGGGAGATGCTTATAATCTCGAGCACTGTTCCCTGTGGTCATTTTGACGTTTACATCTATTTTATATATGTCTGTAGTACAACACACTATTCACCCTTTCGACTTTCCTCCTCCGTAAAGGGGCGGTGGGGTAGCCTAGTGGTTAAAGCGTTCGCTCGTAACGCCGAAGACCCGGGTTCGAATCCCCACATGGGCACATTGTGTCAAGCTCATTTCTGGTGTCCCCCGCCGTAATATTGCTGGAATATTGCTAAAAGCGGCGTAAAACCAAACTCACTCACTCACTCCTCCGTAAATGGTCGATTGATTAGTCCAGTGGTGAAAGCATTCGCTCGTGACACCATTAGCCCGGGTTCGATAACTCACATTGATGCAACGTCTGAGCACCTTTAATGGTTTATTCCTTCGTTATAATGTTGGAATATTGCCACAAGCGGCGTAAACCTATTGTCACTCGCTCCTTCAAAAAGGTGAAATGGAAAACATTTCTAGTTCCATATCTATATTGTGATGGTAAATAAAGAATCTCACCCGAGTGTCTTTGGGTATCAAATATATCACCACGAGTTAAAGTTTTTTATTGTATTTTTACTTATATCAACGAGTGTTGATACTGTATATGTGATATCAGAAGACACGAGGGTGAGATTCTATTTATCATCAAAAATCACTCTTTATTAGTTTTCAATGAAATATATACCCCTGAGCACGTTACTGCCATTAGAACAGTACAGCTATGTCATAGCATTGTGGCGTCATCAAGTTCATGACGTCATAGCATTGTCTCGGCATTGTACAAAATCTACTGTCATAACGATATCTCCTGGGAGATTCTGAGTCTGTCGCCACTATACAGTTACTCAACCTGAGATAACGTCGAAATTTTGCAAAATTGTGCAAGATATTGCTTTCCTTCCACATTAAGCTAACATACCGTCACTAAAATCTCTGGGGCGGTTGGGTAGCCTAGTGGTTAAAGCGTTTGCTTGTCGCGCCGAAGACCCGGGTTCGATTCCCCACATGGGTACAATGTGTAAAGCCCATTTCTTGTGTCCCGCCGTGATATTGCTGGAATACTGCTAAAAACCGGTGTAAAACCGTACTCACTCACTCACTCAAATATCTTCCAAAATTTTAAAAACAAGAATGACGCAAATGGGATTGTGCTCCCCACTTAATA